CAGCAGCCGCAGCCGCAGCAGCTCTTACCAACGCACAAAATCCAACTTAAGTTCTGGTTACATATGCTATATTGTCTTCTTCTTATTTTTGTGAAATTTTTTCTTATTTGCAATCTTAACTTTCTTTCTTTGTTAGTTTAAATTAGCTGGCAATTTCATTATTTCTTGGCTTAAAACGTGTCACAACTCTGTGTTAATTTATTCGAATTATTCCCATTTTATTTTTAATTATTTCTACTCGAAATCTACTTTTTTTGTGTTTTAATTTCAATTTGTTTAATTTCTGTGTTTGATTATTAATTAAATATATATTTTAACTGCTCACACTGACAATTAACAGTGCCTTAACATATGCTGCTAACCAACCCCCTTAACTGGGAACAGTTAGATAACATGCGTTCCACAAGCAGGGGTAAAGGCATAAGCAGCTCTTTCAATAACATATAACTGTAATGTTATTGTTACAGCTGTAAAGTTGCTATAAATTGCACACAACATATGTTAAGTTGCCATAAAATGTCTAACAACTGCCACTTAACATAATTTTAACGTAAGCCCATCAGAAGGGGCAGCTGTTAGACTGAACATTACAATTTTGATAACATGCAGTCCACAGCTGTTGTCAGCTTAATGTGGAGCGTAGTGGATTTTATTAACGCATTTTAATTAGGCGAATTCAATTTGCATGTTTAATGGCAATTGGACGTTGGCTAAGTGAATTTCGCACATAAATGCCGTTATGTGATGAATGCAGCAGCCGGGAGCCTTTGCAGCAGCCGGGAGCCGGGAGCAGCAGCAGTTGCACTTCGCCCCGCACACATGTGATTTTCGAACAGCACCCAAAGGTATGCTACAAATTATTGTATCGCTGCGCACACACACGCACGCTATTCCGGTTGTTGTTCGGCGCATTGTGGCGACATTAGCATTGAGCAAATTGTCAATTGAATTGTGCAGCATAATTGGAATATTAAATGTTTACAAAATGCAATATACAAATACACGAGCAGAAGCTACAGCCAAAACAAGAAGCGCAGCAACAACAACAACAACAACAATGGCAACAAGAACAGCAACAACAACTGCAACAATGCTGCAATTTGCACTTAAATGCACACGCACAACGGGCATAAATCAAACAAGCGCAGCCGTTCTCCTACACCAACCCCCGTTGAGCCACGCCCCGCTGCCCACTTGCCACTTGGCACTGCCGTGTTTAGTGGCCTGTTTCCAATGATTTGCATTTGAAACAATGACAGCATTTTGATAGCTTACCCCAGAAACCCCATATCAAGTGCTGGCCCGAGCTGTTTGCCAGGTTGTTGAATGCGTGCGTGTGTGTGTGTGTGTGTGTGTGTGTGTATTGATACCCCCACTGGACACTCGGATATGTGTGTAGTGTGTGTGTATGAGAATTGAGTGACCATCATGTTAAATGAAACCAAATTATTTGCCAATTGTTTGATTTGTTGTTGCTGTTGTTGCTGTTGTTGTTATTTTGATTGGTGTGGCGCGGCACTTGGTGCTTTGTTATTGATATTTTTGTTGCCAAGTGCAATATGTCAACAATATTTAAATAACATGCAACAAATAATAGCTCCAATAACGGCAACAACAACAACAAATAGCTCATAAATATTAACACTCGATAATGGCTGCATTTTTGTCACATTTTGGTCAAATGCATACGAGAGGCAGCACATAAAATATACATGAAGCATAATGAACTGTGTGTGTGAGTCCCTGTGTGTGTGTGTGTGAGTGCGGTCACGCCCACTGTCCAGCCTGGGTAGCATGTGCAACTGACAAAAGCACCAACAGCACACAAATTCGTTGCCCAAGGAGCAGCTACCAACAACAGCTGCGGCAGCGCACAAATTGTTTGCTCTGCCCAAAAATATTAAAAAAAAAAAAAATTACATAAATAAAAGAAGAACTATGAAAAATAAAATAAAATCAAGATATTTTTTTGGTACGTTTCGGTTTAGTTTTAAGTTTTTAGTTTTTTGGCCAGTAGCGTTTTTAAGTGCGGATATTTTATGAATTTTATACGCTGCTTGACCTGCCAGCATCATGCCAGCTTGCCAGCTTGCCAGCCAGCCAGCTCGGACCTGCCTCTGCCCCTGCCCCTGGCACTGATACCGCCCACACCACCGCTTGTGACTGTGCCACTCGGCTTTGGGCTTGTCTCTCTTTATCGCTGCCACTGCCCCAAAAATGGCTCCACTTACTGTTATTGTGTTTGCTTTGGGCTTCCGTTTTTTCGGGCGCTCCGCTCTGCCACATCTTGTCGCAACTCTTGTTGCTGCTTCGGTTATTTTCTGGTCATTGTGCGGCTTGTTTACGCAGTGGGCGTGCCTACAATGCCACCCAGTTGCCCGAAGGGTCCAACTCTGGGCCCAGTTAGTGACACTCAATTTAAATTTATGCCGGTTTATAATCATTGCCTGCCTGTCATAAAGCCGTGAAATACTCTCTCGCTTCTTCTTCTTCTTCCTCATTTCTTCCTTCTGGGGGTTGTTGCTGCTACTTTTTCGGGCTTAGTGGAGGAGGTGGAGGCGGGAGGTCCTTTTTACAGAATTGTGTAAACTGTTTAGCAGTTTACTGTTTGAAGGTCTTGGCTGCTCAATTAAATGATAATAAGGCATTATATCAGCGGCTTATACCAGCACCTGATGAGCCACATCTTAGCCTGGCCTTGCTATTCTACTCTACTCTATACCTGTGTTTGCTAGACTTTTGGCATAATTTACGGCTGGAGTGTGCATTGGAGTGAGTGTGTGTGTGTGTGTGTGTGTGTGCTGAGGTGTTGATTTCAGCAGCCAAGCGATGCGTAGTTTGCAGTTTCTTCAGCCATAATTAGACCAACTTTTCTTGCAAGCATTAAAAACTTGTTTCTGCCAGAAAAACTTCATTCTTGAACCTCAACTTTTCAACCTAAGCCCAAAACTTGCTTAACTTATGCGAACATTCATGAGGAGTAGAATTTTAAATGATAACAATAATTATTGGGATTTAAAAATTTAGATCATAATCCAAGTAGAATGCGATTTTCAGATTGCTTTCTAATTATTGAGAACAAAATATGCTTTATCTTGATTTCAATATTTATGCATAAATTGTTTTCAGGTTTGTGCTCTAGATGGGTTTTGGATTTATTTGCATTATTGTACATTATATATTTTGAAATATCTTATAGAAGAGTATCTATTTAAAAAGCATTAAATTTAAAGGATTCTGTGCGTTGATAAATGAGCATATGCTTTGTAGAATCAATATGTGGCAATTGTTGTTCACTCGCAGTTGCAACAACAATAAAGTTTAATTATTAACCAATGATTAAGTCGCATTACTCATGCCCAGGCTTAATTACATGTGAGCGACTGACAGGACTTAAGTGAATTTCTGCTTTAAATCAATGCTATTTCAAACACACACGCACACACATGGATAAACACATACATTAAAATCCTCGCTGCGGGCTAACAAACTTGCAACCCTTTGCGCTTAAGCCAAGCAGAGCCCAGTCCGCAGTCCCCAAGCCGTACCACCGCCAACGCCCTCCGCCCAACGCCCACCGCCCATTCACGCCACCCACACTTTAAATTGCGGCCATTTGGCCACTCAACGTTTAATGAGCAACAAATGTAATTTATTTATGGCGTCCACTCTTGAGGCCTTTGCCTCAGTTTCAGTCCGCAAAATGCTTCAAGTTTTCAGCACAATTACCATAAGCACACACACACACACACACACATACACACACATGCACACACACGCACGCACACACGAATCAGATAGAGCGAGATAGATAGTGCGAGAAATGCTGTGTAAATCGCTGGCCACTTTTAGCTGACCGTTTTCTCAACGGCGTTGGCCACACTCAACTCCACTCACTCATTCTCTATCTGTCTTTTTCGCTCACTGGCGTGCTTTGTGTGTGTGTGTGTGCAAAGTGTTGATATTTATGGATCATTTGCATATGTGTGCCAATGCTGAAGGGGCAGGCAGCTTTCTTTCCTGCCACGCTTGGCCAGCAGCAACAATGGGGCAAAAAATGTTAACTGGCGAGACAGTAAAGCATTTGCTGCCACTTCCGCAAAGAGCAGCAGCCGGAGTAGCAGCAGCAGCAGCAGCAGGAGCAGTAGCCGGCGAGGATGTTGGATCTATGGAGCTGCTTTTGAAAGTTGTCCAGTTGCGGTAAACATAAATTCTCGTTGACACGTTAATATTGTTCCCTTTTGGTTTTGTTGAGTGTGAGTGTGTATTTGTGTGTGTGTGTGTGTGTGTGTGGCACAGACCAGGCGCACATTACAGCTGCTGCTCCTGCTGCTGCTGCTGCTGCAGTCAGCTACTACTATTTTGCTGAAAATGTCCAACAAAAGCTTAAAAACATTTAAAAGGGATTTATAGACATTTGGGGAATATGCCAGACAGCTGGACAGACGCCACACAGTGGCTGCTTTCAGACCCGACCAAGTACTATACAAGCCAGCCACAAAAGTCATTAAGCCACAGAGTGCGAGAGCAAGGGCGAGAGAGAGAGAGAGTGAGATGTGGCCGAAAACAATAACAATTTTCGAGCTCAAATCTAATTCATGATTTCATTACCAAGTAGGGCGCGCACATTTTCCGTTCTTAGAGTTCTTAGAGCAGCACAGAAAATCATTTCCTGTTTAGCACTCAATGCTGAGCCCCCCCCACCCCACCACCCCTTCCAACCTACTGGAACACGCTTCCTCTAGGCAAGTAAGCCTGTAATTGTCTTTGGGCCTTTTTTTACGGCCCAGTGATAACAACTGAAAGTGTCACTATCGACAAAATGAAAAGCCATTAAAGAAAATTACCCGACTTGACATTGAGTTTTCCAGGCATTAAATGGCACATCTGAAAACGCCTATGAAGTCCTCAAATGTCCTGCTAATCACATTTTCTATTGGGGGGCGTTCACGTGGACGACACAGTCTCATAATTGAATTGCTTTCTGAGGCAGCCACAAAACAACAACAACTATTACCTTTGATTTTACCGTCAAATGTCTTCGTTCTCTTTAACAAAAATGAATCAAGTTTGGCTGCTCTTCAGGGCTCTGGAGATGATATTCGAATCGATCTGCATGGCTATTCACATGGTGGCCTCGTTGCACTTTGCGGAGCCGATGCCACACTGTCTCATCTTTTGTGGCACCTTTATCGGCTACCTGCTCCTTGCGTTCATCCGTTGGGTGCGGCTCATAAGCGGGCAGCGCACTCTGCTGCATCCGGCTATGTTTATTAGCCTTTCCGGCATGCTCTTGCATTTCATCTGTGCCTTGCTGTCCATGAACTATGCGGAAAATGATTTTCATTTGAAATATATGGGACCGCAAGAGGAGCTGGATCATGTATTCTTCGGCTTCTGCAAGCAGCAGAGTGTGGTATGCATTGTAACTGGAGCAATATATCTAATGCAATCCATACTGTTGCTGGATCTGATTGTCAAGTTGACGCCAAATGCGGACTTGAACCCAATTCAAATTATCAGAGAGCCACCCGCTTGGGATGATTCGTTTAAGAAAATGACCAATGAAGAGCTTGATAGCCTGGCCAGAACAACGGCAGATATATATTTTCTCGGCAAAAAAATTGACTATTGGCTGCGCGGCAAGTCCAAATGGTTTCGCCAATTAGCTGGTGGCCAGGAGATGTTAGCGTTCAACAGGGCGAACGTTGAAAGTTATGATGTATCTCAAACTCTATCAATTGATATCACCATACGTGAATTCAAAGATGAGATACCGCGCCATTTGCCTAATGATTTAAATGAAGAACCTAAAAGAGATTTGGAACAAGCTAAGTCGTTAGGTGATCTGCAGGAAGATGTCGAAGATGAAGATGAGGATGAAGATGTTGCTGCAGACGACGAGAAGAATATTAGACGCTGACGACTCCTAACGATTTAGTACGAATAAACACGACTGCTCACGAAACACACGGCTCAACACGAGTCAGTTGAACTAACACGACTCAGTACGACTTTACCGAGCATGCAATCCACGATCCATGTAATCCACACGACCTAACACGACACAGAACGAATTAGCCAAGACAGTCAGAGAAGACAATTATTATATTTTTTTTTTCAATAACAAACAATTTTGTATACTGAATGTCTTTGTAGCATGCGTAAATTTGTAGCTCGTTTAAGAAATAAACACGACTTAACATGACTTAACCAGGGCAGCTGCAAAGGAGAAATCAATATTAAAAGCAAAAGGAAAGGTTTGAGTCTTTTTGTGAAATAAACCGACAAACGCTCATCGCTAGCCCATAAATAGAAAATTCTGCAATTTTTATTTGAATTTATGCGTTAAATTTAAGCTCAACTCTCGAATATAGCAGTAAGTTAGGCATACAGGCAACACATACGACATTTATATTTATGGTATGTCTGGCAGGCGTAGAAAACCATTCTCGCCCCCCCCTCCCAGAAATTGCTGTCACATATCCATTTCATGCATTTGACTGCCCAAATTGTCAACTTGACATGAAATTAGAAAAGCGCAAAGCATTTAAACATGCTCCAATATGCAAATGAAAATGCTCAAAGAAATATTTGTATATCGTATATACCAGACGTACATATGCAGAATTTATATACGCACACATATATACGAGAAGCTTATATATATAAATTTTTGCATGAATTTTATATTGTGTATGTCTGCGTTTTAAGGCCACAAAATGCTGTGATGACTGCATAAAATATTAAAAAATCTAATTTCCAAGTTTTCTTGCTTTCTCCAAGCTGACACGCCCCTAAAAAAAAAATATGCCAAGCAGCCCGTCAGCTTGCCAGCCCGCCCGTTTCCCTTGTAATTTGTATAAGCTTTTTAAGAGCGCCAAATGCAAAAATCGCTGGCTGAATGTCGTTCCTGCCTGTCTGTCTGTCTGTCCGTCTCACTGTCCGACTGTCTCAAATCTTTCTGCACAGCGCTGACAGTCGCTCTGGCAAAATGAAATAAAAATATGCATGTTAAATAAAATGTCAACGAGAACGCCATTTAAGGGCGTGGCGTAGGCGGGCGGCAGGGTGGGGTCTGTTGTAAAGTGAGCAAGATTTATGTCAACTAAACCAAATACACCAACAAAAGGCATTTAAAATGGTAGCCAAACAGAAAACATAATGCAAATAATCACGAAGAAAAGAACCAAGCAGATGAAAAGAAACCGATAGTTGCCAAGGCTACCTGGGCTAACCCCTAATAAGTGGCCAGCTCGAAGGTCAACGGCACTTGGCAGCTAAATTTCAAAATATATGAAATGAACCCTCAACTGGCTAAGTTGGCTAAGCTTGAACCCAACCAAATTTTATGGATTGCTCTCATCTTCTTATATTTAAAAGTAATCGCAACATTTTTGCAAACAATGGTTTCAGCACGCCAGATATGAAAAATGAACTGATTAAATATCTTATAGTTTTCATAAATTGAGTTGAAAATGTTTAAAACTGTAGTGAGGCAAGTTTCAGACACACACACACCTGGATTCATGAATACAAGAAGCAGGCTTGTGGGTTGAACCTCAAGGCATTGATCCGAAAATGGTTTTTGGACTTGCAGCCTTGGTATTCACAACAATCTTTCAAGGCAAAGGCTTTTGCTTCGTGCGTATTTCTCGCACGGAGGATCTAAGCTGCTTGAAAAGCACATAAAAGCTGTTGGCCGGATTTTAAATACAAGTAAGCTTTAAGCTACTATGCTATTCCTATTGTTTTATGCATAGGGCTTTTAGCGTTCAACTCTTTTGCCAGATTATACGAATATTTAAGTGCCAGTTAGCCATAAGCATGCGTAAGCTCATTAGCAGTTGCCTTTGCAGCCAGCCAGTTAGTCAGTCGGGTTGCCGTCTGGACCGTTTCTGGTTGGAAAAGGTGTAGCTTAAAGCAATCCATTGATTATCAACTTCCGACTGGCGGCGGCGGCGTTGCCACATATTCCGCAGAACCCAAAAGACTTGAGTGCTCTCTCTCTCTCTCTATCGCTCTCTCTCTGTCTTACTCTTTGTCTGTCTCATTCAGCGTCATCCATCTTTTGTGTGCCAAATGGCACTCGGCAAAAGTTGCTGCAACCACTTCCGGCCATGCAATGGACTCTTGGCCAACCCTTCACCAACTCAATTGCATCTTTTGTCTGCTTTTGTTGTTGTATTTGTGCGCTCTCTGCCTCTCTATCTGTGTGTGTGTGGCTTTAATTGAATTGCTGTAAAAACGCGGCACAAATTATTGACTTCAAGTGGCAGCCAGCCAGCATATTTTCTTGCTGCATTCGTTTCCTTCATTTCATTTCTTTTTTTTTCTTAATTTTTTTTTTTTGGCAGCCACAAAATTTTTTCCATAATTTGAGTGGCCTGTAGCTTCAAGGAGTTTGGCGAGCCAAAAAGCTCCCCAAAGTTTTCCATCAAAAACGTTTAGAATGTTTTTTCCTGTTGCCTGTTGGCGTACACACATTTCTTTTTATACCCCACATGCGGCTGTCCCCAGTGTCTGCGCTCTGCCATTGCCCGCCACGCATTTTGCTATTGTTCAAGTTTGATCCCCCCGCCCCCGCTTCCCCTTCACACATTTCCTGGCCCGCCCACCCATGCCCTAACCTACTTTTGACTTGCTCAATGTTGGCTTCTTTTCAGTGTTTCAGTTTTGTTGTTGCGGCGGCTGCTGCTGTTGCTGCTTCTTCTTTTGGCTGGCGCACTCTTATTCTTTTTCTACAGCTTCATCTTCTTCTTGTTCTATTAATTTCTATTTTTATTTTTTTTTTATTTTTTTGACATAAATTTGAAACTTTTCAGTTTTATTGTTGCGGACTCGTTGGCAGTAATGGATTTCAAATAGAGTTACTCATGGGTAAAATGTTTCATACTTTGGGGTATTAGCAAATCTGCAAGTTGACGACGACGGCGAGGACGAAGTGACTTTTCATATTAATATGTGACTTTACTATGCGACGCAGCTGTACTTTCGTTATGTTGTTATTGTTTTTGTTTTTGTTGTTTGTGCTGCGTTTCGATTCCATTTCGTTTCGTTTCGTTTCGTCTCGTTTTGTTTTGCATTTGCCGTTGCATACTTTTGTGCGCACTAAAAGCCTCAAGTTATTTGTTGCTGCCTTTTGGTCTGCTAATGCACATTTTATTGAAATAAATTCCGTGCCCACTTCAAGTTGCTGGCGCTCGCAGTGGGTCGTGGCTTTGACTGTGGCTCTGCTCGTGGCATTTGCCGCTTCGTGTTTTGTGGCTGCTTTTAGCTGATTTTATGGCCTTAAGAGGCGTCCGCTGCTGCGGTGCTGGCGTTGATTTGCTGCGGTCTATACAGCCCAGGGGCCAGTTTATGGCCTCAAGTTGGCTTCAACAGCTTAAAGACGATACAGCACTAAAGTCAGCTAGCAGCCAGCAGCCAGCAGACAGCAGCTAACAGCTAACAGCTCGGCAGCCCGATTCCAAACGCACTTAAAAATGCAAATGATATTTACGTTTTTAGCTTGAGCTTCTTCTTCTGCTTAAGTGCAAAGTTAAACGACGCCCCAAAGTATGCAATGCTCGGCGTGCTTGGCCTGCATTTTTAATTACGCACTGCAAATCGGTGCAGCTAACAGCTGCTTGTTCTTCTGTTTTATCTTTACCTATTTCTGCCTCCACTTCCTCTTGAGCACACTCTCAAAAACCAATTCTCAGCATAACGATAACGTTATTTTTTTACTCGAAACAAAGTGAGCCTAGGCGAATACCAGGCGAAATACTCTCGATATGTATCTTTATGGTGCACAAAAGCAATTGAAGAAACTAAGGCGAACGAGCTTTAACACACATACATATTGATGTATCAGCAATTTGCATGTGCCACAAGCGGAAGCTTTTTCGTTCCATATGCATACTAACTAATTGGCCAGAGCATTTGAATTTTAGGCAAATCTCTTAATGTTGGCGATTTACAGGCTAAAGTGTTTGATGAACCCGATCCATTGTCTCAGAAAAAAGTTTCGTGCTGCATAAATGGAATCAGTTTTAATCTAAATATTAATACATCTGATTACAAGCATTTGAAATTCAGCTGACTGAACTGAATGAGCCCAAACTGATTTCTAATTGCGTTAAAATTCAAACTTTTGTATTCACTGCATAATTTATATTTCTTTGGCTGCCTGTAAGACACATTAACTGCAGTAATTCCCGAATTTCGGTCAAAATCATATTTTAGAACAGATTCTCAGATACCGTGGGCCGCTGTATCTACTGCAAACGCGTATATGGGCCACACTTCCGACGACCGAAACGCGACGTAAGCGCATTTTAATGGCTTTTGTCTTGCCAGCTGCCTGCCAGCCGTGCTCACCTGCCCACCTGCCCATCTGCCCATGTGCCTACCAGGTGAGCATAAAGTGGGCGTGGCTTTGCAGAGCTGGAGCATGTGGTGCATGATGCTTCGGGTGGTTTGTTGCATTTCAGTGTCATGCTGGCATTTAATTTCACTCACTGCGAAAATGTTTTATGTCTTGGGTAAACACTTGCCTCGCCTCGTTCGCGCTCAAGTGAATTTTATGCGCCGCACGACATTTTTGCAGCTGGTGCTCTGCATTCGTCTTTTTTTTTCTTTTCATTTTTTGTTGCCAACTTGGGCGAAAGTGAAAGCTTACGAAAAAAAGTAACAAGAAATACAACGACAACAACAGAACAGCACACACAGGTGCAAATTTTATGTGCGCATTTCACACCTGCAGCATCACGTGGCACCCAAACACACACACACAAACAGGCACACATCTGGAGTGTAGCGTGTAAAAATTTGCTACTTTAAATGTTGGCCAAGGGACGGGGCAGGAACCAAAGTGCTACAAAATCACAACACAAAAGAATTCAATCAGCAGTGCTTAGCAGGTAGCCTGGCACACACACACACACACACACACACACACACACACACACACACACACACACACACACACACTCACACACATGGCAGCTATTGCAGTTGCGGTTAACAGGCCAAGCGTAATATAAGCTTGAGCTCAAAAGCGAGCAACGTGTAAAGGTAAAAAGGGGCATCAGGTAGTGAAAAACTGGTGCACAAGTGAGCTTTGCGTGTGTGTGTGTGTGTGATGTGTGTTGTGATGTGTGCGTTTGGTCCATGCGTGGCATTTATTTTTGCATTTTAAGTTTGCCAGTGAACTCCCCTGTTGATGGCGACGTCGTCGCCGGCAAAGCGCAAAACCGGAAAGGCACATACAGCACCATACACACACACACACTGGCACACACGCGCGGGTACATTTACAGCTGAGTGTGTTGCTTAA